GTAGAAAGCACTTGTTTGGGATCAAATCTGAAGCATTTCAGAACTTTATCAGTGATCATTTTGCTCTAGAAAAAAATTATTAATCGAGTTTTTATATCTGCCCATCTCACATGCGTGTAATTATGCGCAGCAGCATGGACAAGTAAAACGAAACTAAACAGTATAACTTATACATTAAAACAGAAAAAAACAAACACTATAATAACAAAAGACAGGAAAGAATGCAATAAAACTTATACCAGCTATTTAATGGACTCCGTATTTCCATGAGATCCCCAGACACCATGACAAAGCCAAATTTTGAGGGCCTTTGGCAAGGCTAACAGGGATGAGGCCATCTTCACCTCACAAGATTGATATTCCAAAAGGTTACCATAAAAGAAAAAGCTCTCCTTCTGGTCCTGCCAAATGAAGCTCCGTGGCTTATGGGACCCTTAATATATCTTTCTTGCTGGATCTGATAGGATGGTTCTGTATAATTGGGGTGAGGTGATCCCTCAGATAATCTGACTCCATCTATGTAAGTCTTTAAATGTCAAATACAGTACCTTGTATTTGGTCCCCAAACCAACTGGTAACCATTGCAGCTCACAGAGCAGATACATATCATATCATGTGCCATTCTTGGGGCACAAATAACTGCCTGAATTGCCATGTTTCATATGGCTGAATCTTCTGCATGTCTTCAGGAGTAGTCACATGTATTACAGTAGTCCATTTGGGAGGTGATTAGGGCATAGAACCTTCAGGTCCAGAAAGAGGTATATTGGTATATAGCATGAAGCTGTGCAAAGGCTCTCCTGGCCACAACTGCCCCCTGCTCTTTAAGCAGAAATTGTGAGTCCAGAAGACTCCCAGAGTTTGCAATATGTCTGTTTGGGGCAGTGCAACTCCATTCAGAACTAAGGATGATTAATCTCATATACAAAAGGTTCAAAACCCAAAAGCACTCCGTCTTGCCAGGGTTCAGTTGAAACCTGTTGTTCCCTATCCAGACTCCCACAGCCTCCAGGCACCAAGAAAGGATAACAGTTTACTATACCATATAGCTTAATGTTGTTTGTTCAATAGATAAAAAGGCTGTTAGGCTCCACCTAGCAAGTAGAATTGGCGCCAAGCAGACAATAAATCTAGGAACTTCCAATAAGCTTTTTACTGAAGAAAAGTTATGAAATTCTGTGAAATCTAAATCTAATAAAATGAAAATAAAATGAAAATGAAATAATTCTAGCACCTATAGAAATCAAACATTTGGGTTCCTTATTCTTGCTTCCACCTAATGAGCTATCTGTCTCCCCTTTTTGGGGTCATGTTTCCCTCTGCCCCTTGTTTTTGCAATAGTCAAATTTACTATCAAATTCTTCCTCACTGTCTATGTAAGTACAGGTAGTCCTCCACTTACAACAATTCATTTAATGACTGTTCGAAGTTACAACAGCATTGAAAAAAGTGACTTATTACCGTTTTTCACACTTACAACCATTGTAGCCTCTGCATGGGCACATGATCAAAATTCAGATTCTTGGCAACTGACTCATATTTATGACCGTTGCAATATCCTGGGGTCCTGGGATCATCTTTTGTGATCTTCTGCCAAGCAAAGTCAATAGGGAAGCAAGATTCATTTAATATCTTATTACTAATTTAACAACTTCAGTGATTCACTTTACAACTGGAAAGTGGTAAAATCGAGAAAAATTCACTTAACAACTGTCCTGCTTAGAAACAGAAATTTTGGACTCAATTGTTGTGAGTCAAGGACTGACTATATTGTGTTAATTGACATTTCAGTATTTCTGTTGGCTATCACATGATTTGAAATTAATTTATTTTGGATTTACCCATAACAGTATATCATATCCTATAGATCAGGGATGTCAACCTGGATTTCTTCGAGGGCCGGATCAGCATTGTAGTTGTCCTCTGTGGGCCGGCTGTGGGGGAAGATGGGACGGACAGCAGATGGGAGGGACGCCTCCTGCAGCACCCTGCTGGCCAAAACGGGATGCGGGATGGCCTGGATGGCCTCCTGCAGCACCCTGTCATTTTTGCTAGCAGAGGCACCATGGGCCAGTCCTTTGCTATTTACAGGCTGGCTCCGCAGGCCAGGTCTAAGCACCCGCAGGGCTGGATCTGGCCCGCGGGCCTTGAGTTTGACACCCCTGCTCTAGCTTGACAGACACAAGAACCCATGATTAGCTGAAAAGTGAACATTTCTAAGATTTGTAGGAAGTCAATGGGATAGTAGGATTTTAAACTGATTCCCTTGATCAGGTTTTTATATTTTGAAGTAACTTAATTTTGAAGTATATTAAATATTGGTTTACTAGAACTAGGTGTTTAAACAAGATTGTTAAGAAATTGAAATTTTACTTTAAAAAATAAGAATTTAAATTAGGGGTACTAGATGTTGACTGCAAAAATATGGATAAAACATACTTTGGAGTATTAGAGTTTTCTGTATATAATTGCTGTCATCTTGATGTTTGCAGGCCAGAAGTGAAAACCTAATTTAAGAACTGAATACTGACTGATTTGTAACCAATTTATCAAACAATTCATGGTTACTTGAGATTAAACATTTGAGGACTTTTGAAGAGGACAGTTCTGTTAAGGAATGAGAAAACTTTTAATTCAGCATACTGTATAAAAGAAGGTACTCAAGCAGTAAAGAAAATCAGTTAAAGTCAATTTTATTGTTCAAACCTCTAATGTAGCTTATGAAAGAAGGTATACAGTACTAGTTTGTAAGGAAGACTAAAACAATAGGAAATCTGGATCCCAGGTTTCAAACCAGGATATACTGTAGCACTGTATAACAAACGGCATTTGTTGCCCTTTTTGATGATGTATAGTGGATTCAGGAGTGGAGGAAGTACAGACTACTTGGCTTTCAAATGCTTGGTTGGTTATACCATCAACAATGGTATTTTTCTGGACTAGCTCAAGGGATTGGAAGTGGAAAGCACAGTGCTGCAGTGCTTCCCCTTTCTCCTGGGCCACTTTCTGTCAGTGGCAGTAGGCCCCTGCTTTGGCAAATGTCTCCCATTCTCACCACTTTTATTTAACGTGAAACTCTTGGGTGAAGTCATTTGTGAGCACTGGGGTAAATATCATCACTATGGAATGTATACAGTTGTACATCTCTGGCCCTGATGTTATCTTAGTTCTTTCCCATTGTCTAGACAGGAGTCTGGATAACAAAGAACAGACTTAGACTTAACTCTAGTAAATCCAAGCGGCTGTGGGTTTTTCCCAAGGATATGGATCAGGGGATTCTCCTCATGTGATTTTAAATGGGGCTGTACCTACTTGGAGCTGTTGTACCATTTGGAGATCCTCCTGGCTTCATGGCTACTGTTTGACATTTATAGACAGGTGGATCTTTGCACTAATCCATCTTGTGCACCAGTTGTACTCACTGGTGGAATGGGAAGCTTTACTCACAGTCAGTCCTGCCATAGAATAGGAATAGGAATAGGAATAGGAATAGGAATAGAATTCTTTATTGGCCAAGTGTGATTGGACACACAAGGAATTTGTCCTTGGTGTATATGCTCTCAGTGTACATGAGGAGAATAAAATACATTCATTGAAAATAAAAAGATACAACACTTAGTGATAGTCAAGATTACTAATAAGCTATCAAATCGTACTAGGAAACAAATAAAAACAATATAAATTGAAAGATACAAGTAACATGGTTATAGTAATAAGCGGGAAGAGATAGATGCTAATAAGGAAGAGAAGAATAATAGTAATACAGTCTTAGTAAATTATTTGACAGTGTTGTAGGAATTAGTTGTTAAGCAGAGTGACTGCATTCAGGGAAAAACTGTCTTTGTGTCTAGTTGTACTGGTGTGCAGTGCCCTATAGTGTTGTTTTAAGGGTAGAAGTTGAAACGATTTATGTCCAATTCCCAGTTGGAGATTTGCAATGTAATTTACATGGAGCTACCTTTGAAGACCATCCATAAGTTACAGTTGGTCTAAATGCATTGGTGCAGATAGTAATGGTGGCATTTTCATACATCTATATAATTCTACTTCTTGGTGAGCTGTATTGGTTTCTGGTAGGTTTCAGGGTCCAATTCATGGTGTTGATTACCACCTACAAAGCTCTACACGACATAGAGATAGGTTGTTACAGGACTGCCTCTCTCTGGTTAGTGCTGCTTATTCCACAAAGTTGCATGTGCTGAGAGGAGTCTCCTCTTTAAAGTTGTGTCATATAATGGTTCCTTAGAGATAGGTCTTCTCTGTTCTTGTGCCTGCTTTGTGGAAGTATCCCCCCCATATCATCTGTCACAATAATATAAAGTAACAATATCAATAATGTAGAAACAGTTATAAAGTATAAAATTGAGGGACAAAGGGCAAGAACTGTTAATTGTGTATACAGGTAAAAACATGAATTTAAAGATTTAGTACAAACTATGTGAAATCTTTTAATTCATGTTTTTACTTGTATACCTTTAATATTTTGTCTTTCAACTTTTAAATTCTGGAGAATCTGTTAAAAGATAAGTATGCAGCTTTTGTCAGCAACTATTTGCACACATTTAATAAGATTTTTTTTTTACTCCCTTTACTTACTTTTATCAAAACTATCAAGTATTCACCGTCTCCATTTTATAATATTTTGTGCTCTTAAAATAACAGGATGACAGGTATTGCTTTCAGTTGTAGAGATGAAGAATATAATATTGTTGTGCTGCTCTTTGGTTTTGACAAGGATGAATAGAACATTCCATCATTTATGGAATTCAATTTCAAAGTTGGTGAAGATGTTATAATAAAATTTTACACTTGCAAATAGTTTACTGTTTGACAAATCTGTTTTAAGTTTTAGTTCAGCAAAGCACTATCTTTTGGAAATTTGCACATAGATTATTTTCCTCCATAGAGACATGCAGCAAAAATAGCAATTCCAAATACACAACAAACCAGCTTGCGTTTGCAGAAGTTCCATATTTACTGATATCTCTTCCTTGATTTAGCACCATCCAGATGTCTTGTCAAATTTTGCCATAATCCCTTGCTTTTGGATGAACTGATTGGACTGAGGCGAGTTGAAATTTGAAATAGCTGGTGAGGTTGCTTATTCTTTGACTAAATGCTTTTAGTTTCTTTTTAGTGACAAAACTGTTTTTCAATCATAGAAATCTTTCACAATGTACACATTTTGATTAAAAATAAACCTGAAATCTTAAATGGGTGTTTCAATGTCTTCCAATGTGAGGGAGAGGAGTAACTCCTAAGGGTTGGTCTTTTAATTAATCGACACATGGAAGTGGTATAGGTGATGGGGTATGCAAGCAGAAGCTCAGTGGTGGGAAATAATAAAATAAGCACTCAGATTCTGTATACTGGAGATAAGTTACATACCTATTTTTAAAGCCCAGTCTTCTCCTAGTTTGGGACTATAATATCTATGAAGAGCATGTTGGCTGAGGAATTTGGGACCTGTGATTTGAAGTCAAAAGACATTTGGAGGGTTCAGGTTTGAAACACGCTGGTATAATATTTATAATATTTCCATATAAAAGGTATGAAAAAGAAAAGAGTTTGAAGAGGGGGAGGCATAGTTGGAATTTCAAATAGCCATCTCAGTAGATGTAATGTAAAGCAGCTACCAGGATAAACCTATGCAACCAATTACAGCACCTAGCAGAACCTGTCTGGACTTGGAAGCTTAGCCAGATCAGGCTTGTTTAACACTTGGATGAGGGAACAACGTAGAAATTCCAGGATGGGTTGGAAGCTAAGCCAGATCAGGCCTGTCTAATACTTGTGTGAGGGAACCACAAGAAATTTCAGGACTATTAACTAGACTATGAAGTTGAAAAAACATTTTTGAAGTAGGCAGGGGCAGACCACTTCTCAGGACACAATCACTAAGACTCAAGCTCAAACTGACTGTCTTGATGATACAAACGCATTCTCCTTTCATAATCACAGGATTATTGGCAGTGTTAAAGCACTGCTGCAGTCACAGATATCAGATAATATTTCTGTAATTGCAATTTATATATTTATAAAGGTGATTCTGTAACCAAGAACAGGCGACAAGGATCATGGTACAAATGTAGGATACATTTATTAGGAAAAGTAAATTCTCAAAATATGTGCTACATCTTTGAAATTGTCTGAACTTCAGTAAATCATTTGACCATCCTTTTTTAAAAAAATTGACTGGATTATATCACCAAAACAAATGGGCTATCTAAAGCAGGGAGCTTGAAATTTTTCTGTTCTATTAATGACCAATCAGTTAAACTCTATTTCTCTGTCCTATATGTAGGTCTGTTTTTGAAATGGAAGACATGACTCAAAGTCACTCAAAAGTATTTAGTGTAGATTGTTTGGTAATCATTGCTTCAATATTTAAAGTTGACCTGATTCAGAGCTCATCAGCATCTAATAACAGTGCTACTACTACTGGCTACTGGTTGAAATAAGACATAGTGCAAAGCCATAGCTAGCTTTATCATTATTTCTTAAACAACAATTGTTTCGGTCTATATACTTAGGTAAGCCATAATTCATTGAATTTAAATTATTAGGTGCTTGGTCAAAGCTAAACACATCTTTTTATGACCTATGACTTTAGAATTCTGCTGTAATGAGCTATGAGAATGATTTTGGGAGGCAGGATGAAAAGCTGCAGCCTAGATGTACAAAAGATAGCTCAGTCCACAGAAGGAAAGAGGGTGTGAGGAACATCTCAGAGGGTACCTTCCCTAGTTTTCTGGAATGTGTATGTAAGGGAGGAGATAAGCTTGCAAAATTCTGCTACTAAAAACTTGCACTAACATTAGCAATAGTACTCATGAATTGTGCTTCTCGTCTAGTCTACCTTGAAGAGTTGACATCTGCTTTTGTAGCCATTGCTAGCCATTGTGCTCCTTCAACCTAATCTAAGAGACTGGTACCTAGGGTGAGAGCCACTTGGACTGAATAGGTAGAAATAAATACATACATTTCTGAACCACCATTGAGAGACTGCATACTTTGTCTGGTATAACAGCCAGTTGGTCTAGTGATTAAAGCACTAGGAGTATTAGGTATTTGCCACATTGAGTTATTTACAAGAATAATAAAGGCAGAATATCAATCAATCAATAAAAAAAATAGCTATTTAGATTGCTGAGCTTACTGTCAACTACCAAATGCATATGTTGAAAAATATTGAGAAGCACGAATAGGCTATTGCATAATATATGATCAATCATTGTACTGAAAACATTTTGTATGTCCTAGTATTTGCCAAGCTGATTTAATTTATAATCACTTTAAAATATGCTCAATAAAATATCTTCTTATTTGTTAAAAAGTGATAAATCCAAACCCACATGAAATATTCATTCTAGTTTGAATAATATTGAACATGCTTTACATTTGCTTAAAAAATTTTAACCATTCTGAATTCCTCTTCTTTTTTTTTAGATATATTCCATAGTGTATGCATGGAGGTTTAAGAAGTCTTTGATCCAAAATAACTCTGAAAATGGAAACCTCATCTTTGCTGTCATCTTTACATGATGAATGCAGATCCGACAACTACCTTGAGCCTCACTACAAGGAATGTTACAGACTTGCCATTGATGTGTTAATTGAAAATGGTTCAGAGGCTTACCAAGAATTTCTTGCTAAGGAAAGATGTTCTGAGTTTCTGGCAGAAGATGAGATTAATTATATATTAAACACTGTTCAGAAAATCCCCCCAAACATGGTTTATGCTACTGACAACAATGTTGATGATGCCTCTTCCTCAGGAACATACTGGCCTATGGAATCCGATGTAGAAGCACCTAATCTTGACTTGGGTTGGCCTTACGTAATGCCTGGAATTTCTGGTGGTACAAATATTGAACTTCTTTTCCACCCACCACGAATACAACCTTTTACAATAAAAGAAACTATTAGGAAGATGATCAAAGAAGCAAGAAAGGTAAATTCATTTCTTATTTCTATTAAAAAATGAAATATGTTTAGATCATGGGTATATAACTTTGATTTTGATTCAAATCAGTATCTATTATTCAACCAAAGTTTATCATAATTAAAAATGATTTTTTTAATCTACTCAATTGCCTCATAATCTTTCAAGCAACTTAAAAATGTCTCCAAAAATTCTGAGAATATAAATATCTTTCTTGGAAAGGTAAAATTAAAGAAGTAGCAGGAAAAATAGAGATAAAGGAAAAATATTCTTAGTCAAATATACATTTTCTTTAAAAAAAAAAAAAAAGCAACCGTGGAACTGGGAATGTGGTTGAAATAAGAGAGAAAGATCTAATCTTTTTTTCACTGTGTGGCTAATTACAGCTGTTGGTGTATAAACTAGATAAAGTCCACAGTATGGAGGAAATAGCTAGAGCTTGACAACAGAGTTGTTAAACTTAAGACTTAATAAACCAAATTGTTTATATTCACTGAGGCCAATCTCAGAGGCAATATAGTTAACATGTTGACCTAGTAGGAAGGGATAAATAACAAGAAGGTCACCCAGATAAGTTTATCAAAGCATTCCAACAGCATGCTGTAATCTAGACCTTGTCTATCATTTTTTGGTCTTGCATTTGCAGTGTAGTAGGCCAAAGGTATATAAAAATGATTCTGCTTTGCTCAGGGCTGCCCAACAAGTTGCCACTACTTTGTGGGTCTCCAGTTTACACTGTATTGTTTGTATGTCTAATAAAATTATGTTGTATCTTTGAAGTGATTCAGTTTCTTTAGGTGAGCGAGGTTTTAGCCACAACTGTTTCCCCCATTTGCCCCAAATGTAATACTTTAAAAGTTGGGGTACATGCTTCCTTCTATATTGTTTTATATACATGTATTTACTTTAATTTACCTGCCAAGATATCTCTATTTGTTTCAATGAAGAAAATAGAATTTACAGGGATTTATTTGCATATGGTACATAGATTTTCATGGAAAATAAATGGAACTTTATGAATACCTTTTTTTCTCACATGGAACTCTTGATTGAATCATTAATAGTATTTAGTGCCATATAATTTAAAAGAACAGTTACATCAGTGCAATTATTTTTAATAATTGTTAGCAAAGGACAGACGTGGCACAGCTCAAAAGCTTGCTCAGTATATTCCAGACATTACAACACAGAGTGGTAAAAATAATTTGATATGGCATTATTATAGATCATTTTGACTATGTAGATGAATTGAGCTAATTTAAAAATGTATTGATCAGCTTTCAGACATTTATGTGAATCTGGTATTACAAGACCCAACCAATTATCATATATTCTGATTTATAGCTCTTTGGAGTTCTAAGTTAGTGAATGCTGTATAAATAAAATTTGTGTTTTTTCAGATCTTTTAGTGTCAGATGAGTGAAATTTCATTGGTGTAACCAAATTAATAGAATAAGGACAATGCTATATAACTGCTAACCTTGTTCAGTAATTTTACTCTATATTCTTCATTCTCGCTTTCTTGCAGAATTTTGAGGTCAATAATTCTCTGATATTTATAATTAACATTTATAAAGTTAATATTTTATATGTACATTACTTATTTTATTTAAAACATTTAAAATATCCTCATAGAATAAGGTTATTATTTGTAATGAAAGACATGGTAGAAATCTGAATTTTAGGAGATATGTGTTCCATTGGGTAGCTGTGTTGAAAATACATTTAAGGAGAATTTGAAAACATTACACTATTTGTATGCCATCTGTTGCTATGACAGTATTGACATACTGATTCTAAAATAAGTGGGAGATATTTGACATAAAACAAAAACAATATATTAAAAAAAATTGCACAAGTGGAGTTTTATCCAGTAATGCTTCCTGATAAAAAATATAGTTGTCAGGGATACAAAGATCAAGCCCAACAAGAAGATATTTGACAATTGTGGCAAAAGAAAGCAAAGGTGGTACTAATAGTGATAAGCACCTTGGGTGCAAATCCAAAACAACTGGAGCACCACTTGAACTTAATTGCCATTGACAGAGTCACCATCAGTCAATTGCAAAAGGAAGCTTTACTCAGAACAGCTTACATCCTGCAACAATACCTGTAACACCATCAAACATCCACACCTTATCCAAATCCTTAGGAAGGACTAGATAGGTGGACAGAAATGCCAAATCCAGTTTGAACATCTGATTTACTGTACAATGAACCATAATAATCCCCTGGAAAGTCCCATTGATCCTTGGAGGTCAATATTGACCATTATGAGAATTTGCTCTAAAGCCTGTTTTCCTCATTTTAAATAACCAGAACATTGTTTTAGACCAGTAGTTCCATTACTATGTAATATGACACTCTTCCCTTTGCTAGAAGTCTAGCTTGTTATGCTCATGTGCTTTTCTAATATTTCATAGTCCACAACATCATCAGGTGTTGTAAGTCAGAACACCTGGAAAAATAAAATTGGCAGTGAAATGGGATCACCGCCAGTTTTACTTTTCCAGATGTTCATTTATTTATTTATTTATTTTTAAATTTGTATACCGCCCTTCTCCCTAAGGACTCAGGGCGGTGAACAGCCAAGTAAAAACATAAACTACAAACATTAAAATACAATTAAAAAGATATATATAAATTTGGCCCCATGATTAAAAACAATAACAGACAATTAAAAACATTTTTAAAAGTGTTAGGCCAGCCCGGCTTGCTGGAAAAAGAAGGTTTTAAGGGCACGGCGGAAGGCACCGAGGTCTTGGATTCTCCTTATCTCTGGGGGCAGCTGATTCCAAAGGGTAGGTGCCCCCACAGAGAAGGCCCTCCCCCTGGGGGTCACCAGCCTACATTGTTTGGCTGATGGCACCCCGAGGAGGCCCTCTCTGTGGGAGCGCACAGGTCGATGGGAGGCCGTCGGTAGCAGCAGGCGGTTTCAAAAATAACTAGGTCCTATGCCATGGAGCGCTTTAAAGGTAATAACCAACACCTTGGAGCGCACCCGGAAGACCACCATAAATGAGATCTTTACATTACATCCCGTTTATGCATAAAACAGGCAAGTAAATTAGCTGCGTGGTTATATGGATTACTATTGAACTGAACAATTATATGACAAAATCTTTTAGGTACTAATTAGGATGAAGCTAAATTTAATCCAGGTTCAGCAGTGCTTGCTTTTGGCCATCACCTGACTGATTAAAGATTTGTAACTACTGGCACAACTGGGGCCCATTCTACAAACATGTGACATTAAATTTGTGTTTATGTTTAATGCACATGCTTTATTTGAAATGCAATGTATAATTGAGAGTTTTTAATTCTGTAGTTCTGACAAAAAAAAATCTTTTTAAAATTGTTTTTTGTATTAGACAGGAATGACCAACCTGGAGTCCACAGATTAAAGGCAATCTCTGACATCTCGAAATCAATCACACAATGAAATTTGGCTAAGTTTGGTAGTGATTTTTAGTAGAAAAACATTGAAATAAGGAAAGGAAATTTAAGGCCTCATAATAAAATGTTCCATTCCCACTCTTAAAATTTTCAAAAGTACAAAAGAACTGATTTGGGAGAGTTAATGGGAATGCTAATCTAGTGCTGTGTTAGGAAAAATTGTCCTACTGTTGCTAGGATGCTGATTTATTTGAAGTAGTGCATGATATATTCAAAGACATTTTAAATATTTTAATTAAATTGGTCACATGTCATGGTTCCCATGAAGTACTTCTACCACTAGGCTCACAGACATCTACGCTTCAATTTAACATTGAATAATATGTTTGTCTTGTTTTTAGAGCATTTAGATTTGAAAACATTTAATGGATCTAAACCATGGATCTTCCGTTATTTTGGTGGTCTGGTGCTACATGTAGATTTTTAGGCATGGAAGCACTGATACACAATACCAATCACAAGTAAACAAAATATTTATAATTGCAACAAAATTTTATAAAGAAAGACACATCTGTGAAGCTAGAAATACATTTCTTTAAGCCTATTGTTTCTTGCCATGAAGACACAAGTCCAGGGGTGAAATCCAGCAGGTTCTGACAGGTTCTGGAGAACTGGTAGCGGAAAATTTGAGTAGTTTGGAGAACTAGCAAATACCACCTCTGGCTGGACCCAGAGTGGGGTGGGAATGGAGATTTTGCAGCATCCTTCCCCTGCCACACCCACCAAGCCATACCACTCCCACCAAGCCAGTAGTAAACCAGTAGTAAAAAAATTTGGATTTCACCACTGCACAAGTCTATTTTTACCAGTTTTAAATACATTATTCTAAAATTATTGGGTTCTAAAAATAATTCTTCTAAATGTATTTCTTCCAAATAAAAATAACACATCCAAATAATTTTCTCTCAAACCCACAAAACTCTTTTCTCAAACTACATACTATCTTCTGCCCAATGCCGTCTAAAGTGATTTCCCACTCATATCTCCCCTGTGATGAAATAAGTAGCTCTCTTCCTCTCTTTTTCGATTTCTGAATTTCCTAACCCTTTCCTTATCTTACTTCTTTCTTCTTATTTCTTTAAGTCAAGGGATTTCTATACACTTTTTTTAAATCTCCAGTTGAATATGTTTCTCAAAGTGCACAGAAAGGTTTTTGTACATATGAGGGACAGTTTGTGCCTATGAATGGGTTGTTAAATTTAGGGTACTTTATGATATGACTAGTGTTTTATAAAGCATAATGGTGTTCTTAAGGGTTCCTTTGAAAATAAATTAATTTTGTGTACAGTTCTGGAAAGTTCACGTTGCAATAAATTTCAAAGCCTACAGATGGAATAATGAAATTAGGCTGCATTTCATTATTCCATCTGTAGGCTTTGAAATTTATTGCAACGTGAACTGCAGCCTAAAGTGAAAAAGAGAATGTATACATTTCTAAATTTCTTTCGATTCCTTACCGTTTATCATTAGCATTATCTTCATTGTTTTCTAACTTTTCACAAGGTGAAAATTGGATTGGCTCCACTTTCTTCAATAGCTTCAATAGGAATGAA